GGAATCATCACTGTAGCAAATTAATTATCTATAGACAACTTTTGTGCCTGCAGCTACTAATATGTAGACTACTCAGGAAGTTCATCAAACTCCCAGATCTTCCATGCTTTACTTCATGAGACATAATCCCAATGAAGACTTTCTACTGCCTACACCACTGCTGAAAGCATTTAAACTGAAAACCAAGAGATCCATAAGATTGCCTATGTCATCTTCATTCCACCATCTAAGGACATTTCTAGCCCAGCATCAAAAAATCTTTTTTCCTGTTCTTTTTAGATATACATGACAGTAGAGTATATTTTGATACATTATACATACATGGAGTATAACTTATTCTAAGTAGGATCCCATTCTTGTGATTATACATGATGTGGAGTGACACTGGTAGTGTATTCATATTTCCTTCTTACTTTCATAAAGTCCCCCTTAGGAAATAGCTGATTATTCATACCATCAAGTAAATGTTTTCTGCTATTGTGTATCAGAATTGGATTAACTAGACCTTCAACAACAGAAAGCTGCTGAAATGATTACATTAGCCAGTTTTCCTAAGTTGTTCGGTGGGCAATCTGGCTTCTGTAGAACAAAAGGGGAAACTGACAAAGAGCTTTATCATTTTCCTCAGCATGACTAAACTTAAGATAGGTTCTTTCTGACCTTAAGTCTTCCTGCCCTTTTCCTAGAGAATTTACTTTAGAAACCCTTCTATTATACACTCTTTCTCTACTTCTTTGCTTGCTTTATACTCTAGGAGTATTTTTCTAAAGGACTCAGGAATCATCCTTTTGAAATGCAATAATCAAGGAAGTTAATGCCCCAACCAGACACTCTCTGTAGGTGGGTAAGAATCTAATTTTAATAAGCACCATTGGCAATTACATTGACCAGCCTTTCCACTAACATCCTTCTGTACTTTTCCACTAAATTCATTCAGTACTTAAAAGTCCTCCATTGAACTCAATGTCTCTCCTCTACTGCAAAAAGGTTTGAACAGTCTTTCTTGCTAGGTAAGGTGTGGTCCAGAGCAAATTTTCTTTGACAACACTCACAGCAATGTGAACACATGCAGCAAAGGCTTCTGGTATTCAGTTACTTTAATGGTCATTCATTATAATTTTGTCCTTTGTCTGTGGATTTGACATTATGGGCAATTATATTTCTTACATGGTAAGAAAGAGCCAGCAGAGTAGCATATTGTGTTTATTTATAGTCCACAGAAGGAACGTCATTTTTGAGGGAAGAAAAATACCCCCAAAACTTCTCTGTCATGAACATGAAAGTATTTCAGTCAGTGAATCTAACACAAAATTATGCACCCCCACCTCATCCTTTAATAAAAAGTTTGGAAAGCAGTAGTTAGGCAGATTTATGTCAGATAAATAGTATACCTCTAACTCATTATTGAAAGCCTTCATTAAAGATTAAAAACATAAGATCCTTTATAGAAATTCTAAACTGGTCCCTGGATCTTAGCATTCAATTATCATTTGTGAAATCTGAAATCAACATATTTTATGTCTAAATTGAGAGTACATTTGAAAATCAAAATTCAAAGGCATGCCTTCTAGTGGGCTGACTGATGGGAAAGGGCTGTGATTATGCCTAATTTTCACCCTCTACATCACGATCTCATTGATTATGTCTCTCAGCTTGCTAAGGGTTCTGTGAGGTGATTTTCAAGATGAATATTGCTATTTGCAGGATTTCCTGAATAGGAATATTTCAGGAGTAAATTGCACAAACCAAGCAATGTGCAGTCAATTTTCACTCCAGCATAAACAATGTATTAGAACAGAACCCTTAAGGCTTTTTTATTTGGGTTTCATTACACAGCTAGCTGCATTTCATCAATAAGCATGAAGTAGCAAGCAGGCAAAACTGAGGCTCACAGTGGGTATTACATATTTTTTTCTAACAGGTGCTCAGAGTTTGACTGGAGAAAACAAATGACCTGAATGGCAGGGCCTCTAGCCCTTTGCTTCTGAGGTAGCTGTGGCTGCCATAGCCAAACAAAGAAAGTTTCTGTAAATTTAGAAAATGAAACCATGGCCCTCACTGCTTGTACATCTACTTTCTTTATATTAACTCATTCCTAGGATATATTTTAAAGGCAGTTCCTTTATCTGTGTTAAAATATGGTAATGCCTTTAAAACTGTCTAAAAACTTTATTTTTGGTGTTTTGGTGGTTTAAAGTTTAGAAGAGACAAACTCATTTTCCCATGGTTCTTTAATTGAAAAAAAGTTTAATCTCCTTAAGCAGAGGCTGTAAAGACTAAAATCCCATATCTTAAAGCAGAATAACTTTGTGTAGTCTTAATAAATCATTTCTTAGACAGGGAGTAAAGTCAGAAACTGGAAAAAGAGGGATAAATACTAGGTAAGTTATTAAATTATGTATGTAGGACCACCATTTCCTGATGATAAGTGAGGGGTTTTAGAATTATTGGGAGAAACTCCAAAGTTATCAATATATGATTTCATGTTTTTTTTTTTTTTGCTTAGATAGAGCCACAAGCAGAAATAAAGGCTGAAGGAATATTTTTGAAATCATCACTCCAGAGAAGAAAACTCAGAATATGCGCACAGGACTGAAGCCAAGGAGTTTTCTACAAGGGCAGAAGCAGCTGCCTCATTCCTCTGTGATTTGGACCAAGCTGTAGGAGGCAAATATCATGACACTCTGAAAGTACACACAGCACCAAGAGCAGTGACTTAAGCTTTGATAAAGAAAATTCATTAACACACTTAAGAATGGTCTTCACTTCAAATTTCCAGGACCCATTTGGTGGAAACCTTATGGACCATGGACAAATAAAGACCCAATGTGGGCTTTCAATATTTGAGAACCATTCTAGGGGAAACACACAAACACTAAAGTCACTTTACATGAGTCAACAGTCTTTATATGTGTCAGGGTATTTTGTTATAGTCCCTCTTAAATATATTCTATGAAGGAAGATACTTAGCACCGAGTGTATATTTCATTTTTATAATAAAGTAGCATATTTTATTTTGGGGTCCCAGGGATTGAACTCAGGGGCACTCAACCACTGTGTCACATCCATAGCCTTATTTTTTATTTTATTTAGAGACATGGTCTTATTGAGTTCTTAGCAAGTTGCTTTTGCTGAGGCTGGTTTGAACTCTTGATATTCCTGCCTCAGCCTCCTGAGCTGCTGGGATTACAGGCATGTGCCTGCTACATCCAGCAAAAATAGCAATTTTAACCAAAGCTTATGTTTAAAAGCAGAGGAACAGGCATTTACCAGTGAGTTACAAAGTGCTATTTCTGGTAGGAAGGAAAGGGCAGCAATATTAAATCAAGGACTTTTACTGGATATAGAATAACTGGGAATTTGACTGAGGTTATTGTATACATTGGACCAGGTAACTACTTTTCCTTTTTTGGATTTTTTTGGGGACTACTGGAGCTTTAACCAAGAGGTGCTTAACCACTGAGCCAGCCCTTTTTTTTCTTTCTTTTTTTAAATTTTATTTTGAGACAGTGTCTTGCTAAGTTGCTTAGGGCCTCACTAAATTGTTGAGGCTGGCTTTGAACTTGTAATCCTCCTGGCTTTGAACTTATAATCCTCCTGCCTCTCTGGCTGAGATTTCCTAATGGGTGATGAAATATCTATATTGATGATGTAGTTGCACAGGTGAATGGGACATAATTAAATATCTGTAAGGATATTAAGTACTAGCTAAGTTAAAAAACTAAAGAGATCCTAGAACTGATGGCTTCTTTGAACCGATTATGTGCTTTGTATTCATCTAGGCTTGCCCCTTGTGACCATGCATGACTGAAGATCAGGGTGACCAGGACATCAAAAGACAAGCCTTGATGTAAGATATCCTCTATACCATTAATGTGCAGTCTATGTTGTTATTTGTCCTGTACATTTTTTAAAAAACTAATTTGTTATTGTTTATAAGCTATTGTTATTCATGAGTTTGACTACCAGACTGAATCCAGGAGTATGCCACATATTGATCAGGCTGAGTTTTTCACTAGCAAAATGATTTTTGTCTGTAATTTACAATTTGCCATCTGCTCTTGGTGCTAGGTCTCGGAGGGTGGGTAGTTATTAGAATGGTAAATAGAAGCATAAGGAAGAAGTAAGGCAAAAGGAATGAAGTATACTTTATTCCTTTTTTGCAAATATAACCCATTTTAGCTGGATAAAACCTCTCTATCTCTCTCTTTCTCTCTCTCTCTCATTCAAGGATATCTTTCCCAAACATTTAGGATAAGAATTTTAGATACAAATCAATTTTAGATAAAGAAATCTACAGATATGTAGTAAGGGAAATTGAAGCAGCTGAAAAGGGATCATGGTAATGGATATGATGCAGGCATTTTGGTGACATGAATTTAATGAAGACATTTCTACTGCATGTTGGAAGAAACAAAATTATAGCAACAATGATGATAGTGACAATGACTCTTTGCTTGATCAAACTTTTATAAGCCTTCTGAAACTTCTCCCAGGCCTATCTGTTCACTTTCTTCTAAAATCCAGTTTTAACAAAGAACTCTGCTTATTCAGTTTACCAGGAACCTCTCATTCTGTATATTGGATACCCTTAATATCTGATTACTCTCTATATGTGATGGGGTTTCTTATGCTCCACCATCACTAAGGTGCTCATTGGTCACCCTGGCCTGATTTTAGCAAGTATCCCATTAGGTTGGTTTAGCCAGAATATCCCCTAATACCCAAAGTTATTTTGTTGTCAATTTTATCCACTGATCTTTTTCCTACCTCTGGGCTATCCATCACTTCTCTATATTTAGAGTTGAGTCCAATCTCATTCCCCTACTACAAAATCCTATTTCAGTGGTTCCTGTATATATCATGATGTCCCCTTTACCATGCTTTATCAAGTATCATTTCTTTTCTTCAACAATGACAATAATGATAATGAATGAGAAAATCAAATCAAAGATATTGCCATTCATTTAGAAAATAATATGTAAATAAAACATCCCTACCTTAATGTCCAATGGTCTTGTTTGAGTTGTTTGGTTATAAATTTCCAACTGATTCCTAATAGGAGACAGCCACAGAAGCAGATGATCCAACTGTTGTTCAAGCTGCCCAAGATCTTTTATATGAGCCTCAAGTTCTCCTTGTTTTTCAGGTAAAGCTCTAGAAACCTAAAAAGAAAAAAAAAATGTTTAGAAAGGTAATTGGTCCTCATGTTATAAACAAAAGTGGCAAAAAATGTTTTCAAACATAATTCAGCCTGAAATGTTATAAAAATACAAGAGGGAATTTTATCATCATGATATTGAGTAATTTCATTTATTATATTAACTTATAGTTGTTATGATAGGATTTAATTAGAGTATTAGAAATCATTCATTAATACTACACAATTCTATAAATGCCTTTCTGTAAATTCAAATAACATAACTACACAAATGCATACCTAACTCCAAAAGATGAAAATAAAGAAGTACATTCTTCACATATCAACTCACTTACAAAACATAATAGTGATCTGTGTATTATATGCCAAGCACAATTCCTTTGCAGTTTTAAAAATGAATAAGCCAGGCCAGGCATGGTGGTGCATGCCTGTAATCCCAGTGGCTTGGAAGGCTAAGGCAGGAGGATCACGAATTCAAAGTGAGCCTCAGCAGTGGTGAGGTGGTAAAAAACTCATTGAGATCCTGTCTATAAATAAAACACAAAATAGACCTGTAATATAGCTCAGTGGTCGACTGCCCCTGAGTTCAATTCCTGGCACCCCCACCAAAAAATGAATAAGCCAAGTTATTCATCATTAGTACTAGATTTATAACATAGGTTTCTTAAATCTCAAATGAGTGATTTGATTTTAAGAACATGAAAAATTTGAAAGCAAACCAAACCAAAATTTTTGTTTGTATAGTAATCATTTCTGCAATTATATTTGTTAATAATTTTCTTTTCACTTAAGAAAAAGTAAAAGGATTAAGGAAATCCTTTGTGTACAAGGAAAATTGGTAAGGTAAGAATTTTTGTGAACCACAGTATAATCAAGTAAACTAGAAGCAGATGCTTGGGATAAAAAGTAAAAAATAATATTTGGATTAAGAAGAATTTAACAGAATGATTATAGGCTACTTTTATTGAGGGTTGTGTCTATTACAAGCATTATGCTTGAATGTTTCACATTTATTGCCTTCTTTAATTTAACCAGTGACATGCTGATAAAGGTACTATTTAGTCATAGATAATGACCGGGGTTGAGAAGTGTTAATTAGTTTAGGAGCAGTATGCTATAGCTTTAAATATTGTGGGGACTAGGATTAGGCTGCTTGGATTTAAATTCTTATTCTAGCTCTTGCCTAATATTTTAGCCAAATATTCTCTAATTCTCAATGCCTGTTTTGTACATTAGGAACAATAATAGTATCTGCTTAGTATTAATCTTAGGACTGAATAAAGTAATCTATGAAAATTGCTTATTCCAATACTTTGCCTAATAGTGAAACACAACAAAGTCATTAAGTGTTAGCAATTGTTGCCCAAACTCAAGTGCAAATAAAGAACCAGGATTAGCAAGAGTAAAGTGCTTATTTTGGGAATATCAAGAGTTAAAACCATTATCCAAGAATAAAGAATGCAAACTGGTAATGGCAATTCTTTATGGTATTAATAACATTCTAATAACAGAAAAATACAATGTTGTAATATATATGTTGATATAAATCTATTATATAATATTATGATATGAATAGCAGAGAACATTTTAAAATAAACTGGATAAGTATAATAATATATTGGTATCTAATTTACTAGATTAATATGCTAATATACTACACAATCCCACATACATTGGAAAAATCATTTATTTAAAAAAAATTCAGTAGTGAACATTATACTCTCTAATAGGATCCCTGAAATGTGGGGTAAAAAAAAAAAGATTTAGGGACAAAATAACCAAGCAATTAATTTATAGGTGCAGGAATTTTACACAAAATGTTATTATATATAAATACCATGTACACTGAAATCTAACATGAATATATTTACATATTTTGTGTAAAAGGCATATAGGTACATGAACAAGGGTTAGGTTAGGCTGAAGCAGGCCAGTCTGGGACTGACCTTAGGCTCCCACAGCATTGTTCCCTTGGAAATACTGACGTTAGGATAAATGGAAAATGTTTGTCACTCCTTTATTGTAAGGAACTATATCTGGACTTAGGGAACAATGAATTGGGACACAGGTCTTGAATCTATTTGACTAAAATGGTGTAGAAGATTGATGGGAAATAGAAGTGATGATTCCTATTGAAGGTGCCCTGCATACACTTGACTCTCATCCCTGGCAGCCTCTCTGTGTGTGAGGGGGCAAACAAAGTAAACTTCTCAGGGAGCATAGAATGTTTGTCCACAAATAATGAATCACAATGATGTGTCTGATTTGCATGACTTGTGTCCTGCTATAAAGCCAAATAGATTAGTAATAGATAAATAGACCTAGTTATATTTCATGAGTTCAAACCTGTAACTACATCTATGGTGCTAAATTGTGTGTATATGTATGTGTGTTAAAGAGAGAGAGGTTATATGACAATTGTAATGCTATGTCTGCAATATGTAATCTAATAATGCCCCCAACTTATTTTTCTGGCATTTGAAAGCGGGTAACTAAACCATTTTATTTTTATGGGATCATTTTCTACTCACAAGTAGATGTAAAAAGCATTTTACAGTTTCAACTAACATCATCTAAGAGCCTCTAGATTTGGAAAGTACTAGAGATAATAGCCATCATATTTTCCTAAAATCTCTAAAACTGAGCTATGAACTTCATTTTTATCTGATTATAAAATCGTTCATATTTCACTTAGGCTTTATATGTAAGTTCAGATATTTGTATGATATTTAACTAACATTGTTGGTTTCTTTCTCATCCTTTCAGCCTGTTCTCTGTGGTTATAGAGGTAGAATGATTGCTGACATAAAACAGGACAATGAATAAAATTTAATATCGGAATAATGAAATATCAGAATATTGGAATAATGAAATGTTAGCATATAATGAGACTGTTTTTAGTTTAATTATGATGTAGTATTAGGTATATCCCCATAGATCTTATGCTTTCAAGCATCACAACATTTACTTCACATTGTTTAATTTGTTATTTACATGGAGCTCCCTTGCTGAGCTTTTATTTCTGGATAAGCTACATTCCCACACATGATGAACCTACAATAAATACATTGAATTTAAGGAAATTTCCAAATTCAGGATTATTTTTTTCAATGTAAGAAACAGTAAATATATTGATTTGTCAAAATATTAAATATAACTATAAAATATAGTTGATAGTTTTAATTAACAGACAAAATATTAGTAAAGTAGACTACATAAAAATCAGAAGCTTCTGTATGACCAAGAAAGCCATAGATAAAGTTAAAGGACAAATAACAAACTACAAAAAACAATAGTGCGTTATATCTCAAATAAGGCACTAGTTTTCCTAAAACATAAAAGAGCTTCTGCAGCTTAAAACGATAAAGGTCAGCAACCAAAAAGAAAATTGGACAAAAGATAAGGACAGTTCATGAAAAAATATAAATGGATTTAAAAGAAGCTTAGCATTGGTCATAATCAGATAAATGAAAATTAAAGCTCCATCTATTGCAATGGCAAACATCCATCTCTGAAAACATGTTATGCTGCCAAGGCTGTGGGAAAATACTCATTCTTCTACATGAATTGTGGGATGTGTATATTGGGGCACCCATTGGGGACAACAGTTTGGAAATGTGTATCAAATGAATGAAAAACATTACCATTGACCTGGGACACTGACTTCTAGGAATTTTTTTTGTACATATATTTCAGGAAGTCCAATCAATGTTTGGTGAGGAAGAACAGATGGCGACTATGGTAGAAGATTTTTTGCTATACTTAAAAAAATTGAACAACATACAAGTATCACTTTTGCAAAGAAATAAGTTAATATAATCAGGAAAGTATTAGTTTTTCTTCTTATGACAAAATATGGGTGATATATCATACTTTTATATTTTAATAATGAATTGTTATTCATAGAATATAACATTTTATAAAGTTATCAATCAAAAATATACTGGTTATTTGCCTATGACAAGATCACTTAGTTAATGGTGGCAGTGGGTGAATAAAGACCTTCTAACACATATTTTTCATATTTTCTCCCCTCTTTGAAACCAGTCTTTACATATTGATGAGTTGTTTTATACTGACCATGAACAAAACTAAAAGATGTGAGTTGTTTTTGATATGGAATAAGTAATTTTTGTGTCAGTTGCTATGCATTTTAGAATAATTTAAACTTATGTTTACTACTTTTCATCCTCAACAAAATATAGACATAAACACTTGATCCGTTAAATGCACATTTTTTCCTAATAATCTTTTCAAGTATAGAACCATGCTCTTCATACAACATCTTCCCTATGGTGAAAGAAAACAATTAAACACACTCAGTTCCCTTATGTGTTAATTTAGTATCTAACCAAATCTTGACCTAATTTCACACAAGATTAGCTTCCTTGTTCTTTCATTTCTGAATGTTAACTTCAAACGTATAGACATGTTAATGTTAAGATAAAGAAAAGTGTCCATTTTAGAAATAAACAGGAATTAAATATTATACTTTGTATCTTATACAAAAATATTGTAGGAAGGTTAAAGTGTTAACTATAAAAGGGTAACAACAGAACTAGAATAAAATATTGGGGTGAAGAAGCCCTTTAGAAATGCATATGAGGGCTGGGGATGAATCTCAGCACCACACAAAAAGAAAATTAAGATATTGTGTCCACCTAAAACTAACTAAATAAATAGACATTTTAAGAAAGAAAGGCATATGAAAAAATGAGTGAACATGACATTTGTATTGCTCATCTAGAAATAAAAAGCCAATTAAAAAATTAAAACTCATGACAACTGGTAATATCTGTAACATCTATCAGATAAAAGACAATAGTCTACTATATAAAAAGATCTTTAAAAGAATGAAAAAGTTGGAGGAAATTACTGGAGAACTTGGACTTAAAGATCCAATATTGTAAAGATATCAGTTCTCTTCAAATAAACTAAAATTCAGTGCAATCCCAATAAAAATTGTAGCAGATAGTTTTTATCAGAAATTAACATGCCAATTCT